GAATGCAAGGGAAATCCCTTTCCTGACTGGAAACAGGCAAGCAGAGAGGACCAGACATTTCTCTCCTGCAAAGCCAGGCACAAGGGAGAAATCCCTCAACTGCTCAGAGCAAGGTGCTAGAGATTCCTTCTCTGTGTGCTGGGCAAAGTGTATGGGGGAATCCCCCATCATGGAGTCAGGTGGGGGGGGAATCCCTCCCCCACTGATCCAGGGGCACCAGGAGCCAGGATTTCCCCTGCATACCTGGCTCTACCAGGTAGAAATTTCCCCCATGCACCTGGATCCATGGGAGGGAGGGGGTAGAGATGGGGATCCTCCATCACTGGGATGCTGCTGCAGATAGGTGTCTGGTGAGGTCAAGTGTACCGGGGGAAAAAGCACTATCTATTAGCATTTTAATGATGTAGCCCAACCTTGAAAGTGAAAGGCCAAAATAAGGCCTATGATCTTACAAACAGCTATTCTCTGGAGTCTTCCTATTACTGTATATACTTCACTTGGACTGACAGACTGAGTGTAATTAATTTCCAAGGATTTGTGTCTGTGTGAAGGGGACAAAAGTTACAGGCATGTATGGAGTATAGAGTAGCCTTAACTTTTGACTTAAGTTATTTTGTTCCAAAAAATGTTTTAATAATGGTTTCTTTCTGTAGATAACTTAAATTTAATATAAAACTTTCTGTGTCTCATGCAGGGTTTTTGTAATGATTATTTTCCAGGGGAGCTAGACTGGCTCCTTCAGACTCTTTAGTATATTAAGGAAAACTTATTTAGGCTTAGGGATAGCAAACTGTTAAATCGCATAAAAATTTTAATATATGTTATTTACAATAATTTAGATAAATGTTTTGAGCTATTTGAGTTTGCCCTAGTAATGAGGAAGGTCAGCCATTCAGAGCCACGTTTCTAAAGCATCTAGCATTTTTTGTTAATTAGATCACATGTATAGAAACTTATAGACAGCTTACCTCAGTTTACACTTCGAAGTAAGAAACACCTGAGATCCAATAGAGACTTTTACATTTTAGAAAACACACGAGCCACTGCTGCTAGAGTTCTTTATCATTTAATTGTTTTACTGCTTCCTTTTTGAAACATTGAACATTCTTTCTCATTTTTATTTTGTGTGGCAAAATACATATGAAAATCAATTTGAAAACAGCTCTCTTTAACAGTGTGTTTATTTGGAACTAATTCAAGCCTAGATAATGTTTTATCATGGAAAAGCACTTTGATGTATGGATCTTTGGACTTGGTGCATTTCTAGAAGTGGCGTTGGAATATTCTTGTGGAGCCAGGAGGTAGAGCCTGAATTACATATTTTCAGGATCTTAGAATAATCCTAAATAGAAAGCTGGAGTTAAGAGATGAGTAGCCTTGATGGAGTGAGGACCTATGGCTTCTAATGCATTTAAAAAAGGTCAAATTTTGAACCTAAAACCATATAGCTGTCTTGTTTTTCTGAAGTTTGGGTTCTTAAAAGTTTTTACAAACAAAAAAAATTATGTTTTAGTGCACAGGTTTCTAATATGAGAGCAGTCATGTTGATGTATTAAATGACAACATGGCAAAACATTCTGTACTTCAAATATAAGAGCAGAACTAATTAAATGTTGATGTTATATTCTAGACGGTAAGTATTCATATTAGAATGATTGATAGCTTAAGATTGATAACTAAAAGCAGTTGAGACCTAAAGAATAAGTGAATAGTACTGTTGTGTCTTTATACGTGTCTTCCTACTCCACAAATGTTAACTGAGATTTGAAATTGAAAGCTTTGAACAGAAATCAATAATTGGGCAACAATAAATGCTTTTTTAAATTTGCTTTTCTATAGGGTTCAGCACCACCACCTTCTCCAACACCTAATAAGGAGATGAAGAACAAGGCAGTTCTTTGCAAACCTTTGACAATGACAAAAGCTACATACTGTAAACCTCATATGCAGACAAAATCTTGTCAGACAGGTAACAACTGAATTTTAATTGAAGCATTTATTGCAGGCTTGATGATTTTTAATTACCGTATCTATTTGAATCCAAGACAAGGGGCACAGGCAGCATGGATGCAGGCACTGTATGGGGGGCAGGCGGCAGAGAATACAGGCAATACAAGGGGGCAGGCAGCCGCGGAAACAAGTGGTAGGATATCAAGGGGGCTACTTTCTCCTGTGCCTCTGCTTTCCCTGCCGTAGCAGTGGGCGGGATGAATTTAAGATGACACTCTGATAATTTGATTCTATACATGGAAAATGTTAACATTTATAATTTTTCTATATATAGAATCCAATTACTGGGGGGGTCATCTTAAATTCATAATGGTATTCAGGTAAATGCAGTCTATTGGTGTGGAATATGCTACAAAATGGAATTTTTTTGAGCTCTTCTTATAAGGTGATATCTGTTAAGTCCCTAACAGTATTTTATCTTCTTTTTAAAGAAGATGATTGGAAAAAAGAGTATGTTCCAGTGCCTGTTCCTGTACCTGTCTATGTTCCGGTGCCTATGCACATGTATAGTCAAAATGTTCCTGTTCCTACAGCAGTTCCTGTTCCAGTAAGTCAGACATGAGCTTTATCTTTAAACATTATTTCATTCATTTATGTCTAAGAGAACACTTCGGGTTGGTGTCAGTTTGTAAGTTGTAGCTATTATTGATTGACCCTCCCTTTTTGAAGAAGAGCAGTGCTCTGCAGTTGACACTAACTTCCTGGCCCCTTTTTCAGTAAGCCAAGCTCTTATGATGCTTATCTACTGTAGCAGCAGTTTTAATTATACTTCCATCTGCTGAATGCACATGGGCAATCAGTAGGAAGCAATATGGGAATAAAGGAAAATGAGAGATTTTGGATCTTGAAGGGATGGCAAAAAGAGGAGGAAACAAATGCCAAGAAGAATGTCAGAGCTGAAGGGAAAACCAGGATGAGATTAGGATTTTAAAACTGCCAGTTTGTTAATTTTGTTAATAGTTATCACTTACATTGCACATTACATCTAAGTGGTAAAAAGAATTTTGCTCACTTTACAGGTGGGGAAAATGAAGCCACAGAAAGAGGTTAATGACTTGACCAATGTCACAGACAGTGGGTAGTTAGAGTCAAAACTAGGATTAGAACTCAGGAGTTCTGGATACATTCATAGCTCACACCGTAAAGTTGTGTGCTTCTCACAATGCCATTTTCCCCTCCTCTGTGTCATTTTTAAAAATTCTGGTTCATCCATGTTTAGGGTTTTCTACCTGTCAGTACTTGTATACTAGATTCTACTGAGAGAAAAGTATCTAAGCCATGGATGGCTTCTTTTAAAAGATGGGTATAGTGAGTCTGCATTTTCATGCTTACCTCTATTACTGGTAGCAATATATTACAAGTGAATTTTAAAAAAATAATTGATTTCTGTTTTGCATAGGTGCCAGTTCCAGTGTTTCTGCCCACTACTCTGGATAGCAATGAGAAGATCCTTGCAGCAATAGAAGAACTGAGGGGTAAAATCCCCTCAAATTCTTTGGAGGCTGAGCTACTGACCATAGCAGAGATGATGCCTGAAGATGATGGGAAAACAGAAACTACTGATCTGAACAGTATGTTTTTATTTCTGTGACCCATGAATCATTTTGCTTGTGTGTATGTATCCAAAGGGATTTTTAAATTGCATTTAGATTTTTTTAAATGAAAAATTGCTCTTGGTTAATTCTTAATTTAATTGAAAATCTTCTCTGTTTAAACCATTTCTAGACTATTCCAGTATAACTGACATGAAGATATTTAAAATAGATTCCATGACTTGGTTGCCATGGCAAAAGTGCTAGAATTCTTTTCTTTGCTTGGGGCAACCACCTTCTTTAATATGTCTAGTTTAAAACAAAAACACTAGTAAAAAACCAAAAGAACGCTCATCACATTCAGGAAAGTTTATCTTTACCATTGTGTCTGACCATTTCTCTGAATGGCAACAAAAATAATCTATTCTTGCAGCAGCACTTTCCTATGGTGTCTTCAAGTGCATATGATTTTAAGTGACTTAAAAGCCCATGGAAGCTTTCCCTTAGCCTTTTTTTCACTGTTTCCTCCAAATGTATCCAGAGATGTATGCACATATTTTGGCTCTGATATCCAGGAGAATTACAAGGCTGCAGAAGTTTCATCTGTCATATTTTAATGAGTGCAAAACGAGAGTCATATTCCCTTCTCAGTTGATGAGTTGGAGGCATTACTGGACAAGCTTTGCCAGGTTGCCACGTGCTTTTTACTAGATCTGTTGTCAGAATATGCAAATATCTGTGGATGGAGCCCTTCCTATGGAGAGAGTTTGGAGCCAAGCTTCTTTAAGAAGTTAGGAAGATTCTTATTTCCCTTCTTCCCTCCTTTTTTGGTTTATCCTTGAGTTGCTTATTCCTCCTTAACCCTTCCCTCCTTGGTTTTAGAGGTGTCTTCTACATGGAATCCAGGGTCTGAACTGTCATGGTTTCCATCCCTGACTTTGACAGGAGACTCCCTTAGCTAACAAAGGCAGAATAGGCTAGAGGACACCTCTACCTCTAGTTTGAAAGAAGTTTGCAAAATAGCCAAATATGAAATGATAATTGGACACTGTCTTGCCTAGCAGAGTAAGTAAGGGACCACTAAGTTTCTGCATTGTCTTGGCAGTCACAGGAAGCAATTAACTAGAAAGTGGTTTGGTTTTTTTATTTCATTACAGGTGTAATAATTGAATCAGACCTGCTAAACTCTGATACAGAAACACAGACAAGTTTGCCTGATGTTCCCTATGAACCAGACCTTGATATTGAGATTGATTTTCCAAGAGGTACTTGGCTATGTTTATAATAATCTGAAATACTGTACTGGTAATCTTCATAACACTGTGGACAGTAATCTGTATAGCCATTTTTTCAGGACAGTTTTGACTGTAGGCTCTACATGTCTTCCTCCTTTTGGAAGGTGACTGTTCAGCCTTCGCAGACAGAGGATGTTTGGAAGTAGAGCACTTTGCTCTGGCTCCAGCAGGAGGAGGACAGGGTGGACAAAGTTGTTTGCACTGTTCAGGTGTAAGTACAGGCTTGGGAAAACTTGTAGGGCTCTTCCAAAGTGCCAGAGATCCCACTCTGGCACCCTGGAGGAAAATAATGAAAATCTCTGTATTGCCTGATGCTTGAATGGAGAGTGAAGTGCAAGCCTTGATCAAAAAGGAGAAGAGCATGCTTCATATTTAGCAAGTAATAAGCTTGTACCTTGCTCTTTAGTGGAGAAAGCAGTAGAATTTTGCTGAATTGTCCAGTTGCCCATTCCTGTCTTTGAGAGTGTTGGTTCTGATTTAGATTGGCAGAGACCTCCAGAGGCCCTGATTGGTGAAGGGCAGTCCTGTTCTTGGCCACCAAAATCCCTTCCCTTCTAGCTCTTCCCTGAATGCACATGGAGATCTGTGACTGGAGAGAGGGATCAGTTCAGCTCCAGCTAAACTCCCATCCCAGATGCCAAATACTCTTGGGCATTGCAGCAACCATTTTTGCTGCTGAAAGTTCCTTGCTTTCTCAGTCCTGTAGGTAAAGTAGAACTCCTAGAACTGGGTTTCAAGGATTACTTTAGGGATTAAGATAGACTTTTTTCCTCTGAGCAAGCATAGCAAGGTACCTATTGGGTTTTTTAAAGCTTCTTCACTGTATAGAGGCTTGAGGTGTAAGGATAAGGATATATGCAAGAGCGTTATCTGACTTCTTTCAGTTAGTTGTCACTGTATATATATCTAACAATCTCCATTGTTTAGCAGAGTGTCTAGGGCTAAGGTGCTGGAGTTAACTTGGTTACATCATCTAGGAGGTTATAATAGAACCTGTTATTCTCAACAGTTAGTCTTTATATCTTCTAATGTCTTCTAATGTCATGCTGGTTTATACTTATTTATTATTGGGTCACTTGTTCATTTACATATTGGCTGAAATCTACTGATACTAAAGTTTGCATAAGTGAAAAGAAAATTGGAAAAAGTCATGCATTATGTTTTTTAATAAGGTGCAGAGTCCTAGTGACTTTAGTCATTAAAAATGTTCTAACACCTTTGAAAATTGTTTAAAAAATAACTATTTTGATACTTACTTCCAAATTCTGAAACCTGCGCCAAATATATTTGCCTTGTAATTGATTTATGTAGTTTATAATCTTTAATCATGTAATTTTGCAGAAATTTTATAATAATAGGTTTAATATTTGCAGCGGCTGAAGAGCTTGATACAGAAAATGAATTTTTGCTGCCTCCTGTTTTTGGGGAAGAATATGAAGAACAGCCAAGACCTAGATCCAAAAAGAAGGTAAAAACTAAAAATCTATTGCTAATTAATATTGTAATATGTCTTGTTTATTCTTTGAGTTGGAATAGTACATGTGTTCCAGTCTTTAAATTAATTTAGTATACAACTTACTTCAGTATTGTTGTCTGGCAGACGAAGTAGAATATTAACTCCTGAAATCTATTCCCATCTTTGATAATGATTTCCATAGTCCTGAACAGATCACTTAACCACTGCTTCAATTTCCTTATTTATGGGTGGAAATAGTAATGCTTGTAACCTGATGTAATGTTGTGGTGAATTATGGAATGAGTTTATGATGTAAAATACTTGCAATTCACATGCTTTGCTGTGTAACAGACTAAGCTGTATACCCTTCATCCCAATCACAAGTCCATTGATTCTCTTTGGTGCTTAGAATATTGCCATCATTTTCTGAAATTTTGAATGTTATCTGAATGCAGTTATGTAACGCCATGTTATATGCAGGCAAATGGAAAAATGTCACTGAGTTGAGCATAGGGTCCTTACTGTTGCAGCTCTCAATATTAAGAGAGATTTATCAACTGCTGTATATACAAGCTAGAAATATTTTCAGTTGCTCATACCTTTCCCAAACTTTAAATTTTCCAGTTTGAAGTTATCTGGGCTTACAGGGCTGACTAAATTTGGCTTTGGATTTTCCCAGGAGACTCACAGGGACCTGGCACCTGAGACTCACAAGCCCCTGTGGGGGCTACAGGGCAAGGCAGCAAATTTGCCTGGTCCTGGTGAACCACATCATAATACCAGCAATCAGAGTTTGTTTGCATTATGTCTGTGGCAACCCCCAGCCAGGTTTCAGACCGGAGCTGCCCAGATCCCTATGCTGACAACCATCCCACATGTTCAAACTAGAGCCATAAAAAACAGCCACAAAGATGTTCCATATATTTTCATGGAGAATCTTTGTGGCTGGTTTGATATTTTATGGCACCATAAATTTGCTGAATGTATGGCACATTGGTATTTATGGTGCAAGTCTCATATTAATCCTATCATAAATATAACTTGTCAGAGACCTATGTCAGCATGTTGAATGAAGTGTATATGTTATAAGAAACTTACCTCCTGGCTCTAGCTGAATTAAATATAAATAGCCTTAAAATACTTTTACAGTTTGAAATCTTCCTTGGAATGAGTCTGTAATTGGCTTTTTTATTTAAGGCTCATATTAATATTAAACACATTATTTCAATAATAGGGAGTGAAGAGGAAAGCAATATCAGAGTACCAGTCTCATGATGATAGCTCTGAGAATTCAGAGTGTAGTTTTCCCTTCAAGTATGCATATGGTATAAATGCATGGAAGCACTGGGTAAAAACTAGGAATTTAGATGAAGATCTGCCAGAATTAGAGGAATTGAAATCAAGTAAGTATTCCCACATATCTTTCATTCAGGTGTTATTATTTTTATTAATGAACCTCTGTATTGGTCTGTATCACCCCTTTTTTAGAATCTAATTCCCAAAATAGATATTTTAATTTATATTTTCAATTCTCATTAAGTTCCCATGATCAACAAGATTATTTTACTGTAGAAACTGTTTTTCCCTTCCTTTTCTGCCCCCACCCCCTGACTCCCAAAATGCAGGGGAATTTGGGAACTTTCAGAATTTACTGTGACCCCTTTGTGCTTCTTACTGACCCTCACCTCTCTTTTGGGTCTTCTTTAACTACACAGGAGGGACACCCTACTCTTCATTAGAGCAGTGGTTCTCAGCCTTTTCAGATTCAAGGTGCACCCCTCCTTAGTCTCAAGGCACCCCTCAGAAAATGCCAGCTCTTAGTTTTCACCTTTTTATTTTACTACAGAAAATAATAGAACAGTTCTTCTGTTGCAAAGAACTCAGAAAGACCACAGCATGGCACAGTGCTTCTGACACTATGGATTCTTGTTTAAAATCTCTGGGGTTTATCTTGTGAATCACGTTTGCACACCTAACAGTGCTAACATTGTGTTGCATCTCAAGGTACCCTAGGGTGCTGTGGTACCCTGATTGGAAATTACTGCTTTAGGGCATCTGCATCTGGGAATGATGTTAGTACCAGGATCCAACATAGGTTCTACTTCAGTGGGCTTTGGTGCCCTTACTGCAGTTCTTGCAAGTGTTCTCTGATACCAGCATTTGCCTTTTTTCTTGGGGGCCAAGCATTTCCACTGTTGTTCTTCTACCCCCATGCTTTAGATCTCAAAAGGTTCCTTTGGACCGTTTTGCCTCTATCTTCTGACAGAAGGAACAGTAGATTCTGGGGATATATATAATGATCTTCACCCTATAGCAAAATGCAGTGCAGTCAGTATATCCCTAAATTGAGCAGCTTGTGGTCCTGTCTTTTACCTCTGAATTTGATTAGAAGTTCTCTGTGGGGACCAATATACCATTTTTTTCCAAAGAAAACCAGATAGCAATAGTGTTGTGTAATGTAGTATTCATTTTCTTTATTTTACAGCAAAATCTGTGAAATTAAAGGAAGACCTATTATCACATACTTCAGCTGAGTTAAACTATGGATTGGCACATTTTGTCAATGAAATTCGAAGGCCTAATGGAGAGAACTATGCACCTGATAGCATTTATTATCTGTGTCTTGGGATTCAAGAGGTTAGTAGAGTCTTTAGAAATAAATAGTGGAGCTGATATTTTGACTGCAATATGCTTTAATAGAAGATTGGGCAGGGGCGGGCAAGATGCAGCCCACCAGCCCATTCTATCCGGCCCGCAGGGCCCATAAAAAATTTGGAAAATTAAATATTTTTCTGCCCCTGGATGCCTGTCATGCAGCCCTCGATGGCTTGCCAAAACTCAGCAAGCAGCCCTCCGCCCAAAATAATTGCCCGCCCATGACATTGGGGGTAAGCACAAATATTTATTGGTTAATTTATATAGCAAATGCAAATCCACAGAGCCAAGCAATAGCCTCCTTGTTAACTGAGTTCAAAATTATTAATTCGCCTCTTAGTTTGTAGAGGGGACACTCCTCAATGTGCAACATTGTTTGTGTCTCTCCACAAGAGCACTTCTTACTGGTTGATAAATAGGCATGACTAATATAGAAATTATGATTTGGAAGACAGAAAAGCTCTTGTACATATTCTTTTAAACCTTTTGCTAAGGGACAGTAAAGGAATGTATAGTCTAAAAATGTCAATTTTCCATGTGTTGTGTTGTGTTTGTGTTATCATGGGTGAGAGTGTGTGTGTGTGTATGGTTTGCTCAAGATGACTTTTTAGTAATACAAAGTGAAACAAGGAGTAAGTTCTCTGCATACAAAATGAAGATAAAATACCTTTAAAATATAATGCATCATAGAATCATAGAAATTAAGGGCTGGAAGGGACCTCAAAAGATCGAGTCCAACCCCCTTGCTCAGGGCAAGAATACTGCTGAGATCAAATGATCCCAGCAAAATGTCTTCAGTTTCCTCTTGAAGACTTCCAGGGTTGGGGACTGCACCACCTCCTTGGGAAGTCTTTTCCAGAGTCTAGTGGTCATCCTTACCTTTATAGAAGTTCTTCCTTGCATCCAACCTGAAACCATCCTCTAACAGTTATAGCCGTTGCTGCTTGTCCTCTTCTGGGGCGCCCTAGTGAATAGTCTTTCTCCCAGCTCCCGATATTCACCCCTTACATACTTATAGATGGCCACCAAATCCCCCCTCAGTCTTCTGTTTCCCAGGCTGAACAGTCCCAGATCTCTTAGTCTTTCCTCATAAGGTTTGTCCTCCAGGCTGGCCAGTGTCACAGCCTGGAAAGGGGCAACCAGTGAAGGCGACCCTGGACTCAGGGTGTTTGCATTTGCTCATTTGCACTGACTTAATACCGCGATACAGAAAGCAGGCCCTTTAGCCATGACATGTATATACAGGGACAAAACCACTTACAAAAGATGCTACTTGCCGATCCAAATAATAGACTATCATGGGGAGATGAAGGTCGGGTTAGCACCAAGTTTAGCCTGTGACATGGTCTTCGGAAGGGATTGGTTTCCTATATATGACGTTTTGGAATGGGTCAGGGAAACCAAAATGAAGTACCAACATTTGAGGTATAATGAGGTGTGGTTGGGAGAAGACAAGACCCCTGTCCCAGAAGAACAAGATGAAGGTTTTGATATAAGAAGGGTCGCAAGCAGCACCCACTTCCAACAGGCACAGAGGGACAATTCTGACTTAAGAAAGATCTTTGAGAATGAAGTGCAGGATGACTTCGCAGAGGAGGACTCGTGCTGTGAGGTAAGGGGAGAACTCCTTTATTGGGTCAAAAGGAGAGTCAGGGAAGGAGAGAAGATCGCTCGGTTAGTTGACCTAGCCTCATTTTGTAAGACCCTGTGGCAGTTAGCACATGCCACCCCTCTAGGAGGTCATTTGGAGAGAAATAAGACATCAGCTAAAATCTCCCACAGTTTTGGTTTTTTTTGGCTGAGGCTTCAGGAGGAAGTCACTCGCAGGTGTGCAGCATGTCTTGAGTGTCAGCACGCCAGGGAAGATAAGCCACCCAGGGCCTCACTGCAGGTTATACCAGTGCTAGCAATTCCTTTCTCTCATATTGCATTAGATATAGTGGGATTTTAACCGATCAAGGCACAAATTTTATGCCTGGGGTTATATGGTCAACGTGCCATACCTTGGTGATCAAACCACCTCTGCACGTCCATATATCACCCTCAAACTAACAGACTGGTGGAGAGGCTGAATGGTACAATCAAGTGGATGCTCTAGCACAGTGCCTAGAGTGAACCTAAGAAGTGGGACTTTTTGGTACCCCTCGTCTTTGCGATTCACAATGCCCCGCAAGAGTCAACTCAGTTCTCTCCCTTTGAACTGGTATACGGGCATATGCCCTAGAGTTTAATCCAAGTACTTAGGGAAGAATGGAAAAGACCGGGAGCACTGTTGGTTGGGGCGGACACTTACCATCATGAACTGCATGCTCAGCTACACACTGCACAACAGATAGCTAGTGAGAACTTGAGAGGAGCTTAACAGAGTCAAAAAGCTGCACATGACGTAAGAACAGAGGCATAAGAATTCCAGAAAGGTGAGAGGGTGCTGGTCTTACTGCCCACCTCAACTAGCAAACAACTCATAAAATGGCAGGGACTGTTCTGAAATCCTCCACCGAGTTGGGTCCATGGATTATGAGGTCTCCTGACCAGGACGCAGGAGAGAGGCAAATCTACCACGTCAACCTGTTGAGAGAATGAAAAGATGAGGGATGGATGGTAGCCCTGGTTGGGGAATGGGAAGACATGGAACTGACTATCCTAATAAGATGCAGGATTGAAGTTAGAGGATCACATGCAGATCAGAAGAGAGTTAACCCCAGAACAGTGTGGGGAAGTAATAGCTCTAATCCAGTCATTTTGAGATGTCTTCAGAGATGGGCCAGGTTGGACATGGTGGGGGTGTACGTTGTACACAAGATTCATACTCTGGCATCCAGTGCCACGACTTCTACATCAGGTCGTTCAGGAGGAGCTGGAAAAGATGCTTGAGCAAGGCATTAGACTATCACGTAGCCTGTGGAGGAGCCTGGTAGTGCCAATAGCAAAGCCAGATGGGTCTTTATGACTTTGTATTGACTTTAGAAAACTGAACACTCTGGCAACATTTGATGCCTTCCCTATACCCCACATCATACAACTGATAAAGAAGATTGGGGAGGCCAGATTTATTACCACCCTTAACCTGTCAAAAGGGTATTGGCAGGGCATGATGGCCATTAATGATTGCACCAAAACGGCCTTTGGGACACCTTGGGGACTATACGAGTTTCTGCAAATGCCTTTTGGGCTTCATAGAGCAGCAGCCACCTTTCAGAAATTGATGGACACCATCTTGGCACCTCATGGGGCCTATGCTGCAGCCTATATAGACGATATTATCTTTACTAAAACCTGGCCCCAACACCTCCAGGCTGCAGTGGCTGGGGGGATGATAGCCAATCCTAGAAAATGTCTTGGCAGATAAAGATGCAAAGTATTTAGTAGGGGTGTAAAAAGCGGGCCCTGTTTGTTTCGGATTCGGCCCAAATCAGGGGCGGTGATTCAATTCGGATTCGGCCCAAATCGGGGGCAGTGATTCAATTTGGATTTGGCCCAAATCAGGGGCAGTGATTCAATTCGTTGATTCGGATCACTGTCCCTGATTCAATTCACCTGAATCCAAATCTGAAGATTCGATACTTATTCGGAGAATCAGCGATTCGGACACAGACATAGCTTTAGAAGTTTTTTCTACGTACCTTGAGGTAGCAGGCACAGCTTGTGATCGCTGCAATGCTGGGGTGCATGGAGCATCCCACAGGAGTGCAGGGGGACCCTCACATGCTCAGTGGTGACCCCGGAAGTGGACCAGAAGTACTTCTGGTCCATTTCCGGAGAGCATGCTGGGGGGCCGCCGCGCGCCTCCCCCGGCTTGTGATCGGCTACAGGGGGACCCCTCTGCACGTTCCCCGATGGACCTGGAAGTAGGCCACAAGTGCTTCTTGTCCACTTCCGGGTCTGCTGCCAAGTGCGCTGGGGAGCCCCCTGTGCTTCTGTGGGACACTCTATGCACCCCAGCATCACAGCATTCACGAGCCCCTGCTACCTAGTGGTATGTAGAAAAAACATTTAAAGCTGTCTCTGTCCAAATCTTTCCAAATGTTTCCGAATTGATTCAAAGGGTTCTGATTTGATTTGGAGAGATTAAAGAGTCCTCTGATTCAATTTGGATTCGGGGATTCAGCCACTGAATTGGGCCAGATCTCCACTGAACCAAATTGGGGACCGAACCTTCGCACAGCCCTAGTATTTATGCTTTTTGGTAGGACAGGGCGTTATCAAACTGTTAGCAGACAAGATGGAAGTTATCTGTCAGTTCCTAGCCCCACGCAACCAGAGACAGATGCACTTCTTTTTCTTCTGAACACGAAAGATGTGGCAGGAGAGCCAGAGGTAGTTTCCCCTCCTCCCCGCCCCTGGAACTCATGAATAGCCCCTCCGGAGCACAGGCTCTGTGACGCTCTATTGCCCAATAAGTTGAAATATTTACAAATGGGAGGTTAGTCGTCATGGACCCAAATCCTTCTTCTACAAACTCAGTATACACCTTAGGAGCAAAATTTGCTATATCCTTCATACATTCAAGATATACTACACCCCATCTCATGTAATGATCGTGCACAGCTATCAGCAGAAGCATTTCTTTAAAGGCATGTAAATGCTTGTGCCAGTTTTCTTTGCAGTCAGCCCTGACTACACAAGAGAGTATTGACTACTTCCAAATAGTTCATCCATTACTTGAATATACCTTGATGGGAGTGTTCTTCCACAAATTCCTGAAGCAAAGTGCCAGTTGTTGGCAGATGCACTAATCCAGGGGTTTTCAACCTTTTTTAACAAGTGTACCCCCTCTGCCTCGAAGTTTCATCTCATGTACCCCTTTATATTTTTCTCTTGTTTTTAGGGGGCGGGGTGGGGAGCCAGATCAAGGCCCACGTGGTGAGGGAGGGAGTGGGGCAGGGGTAGGCACTGGACAGTCGGGACGGAGTGCGGGATGGAGCCACAAGAGCAGTTCATCCGGGGAGTGTGAGCAGAGAGGGGTGGCTCCTGCTGCTGCGTGCACCCTGGCAGAGGCTCTGTGCTCACTCCCAGAAGCAGGGCCAGGGGGGCAAGGGCAGTGGTGTCCCTCTCTGCGGGCTACACATGCCAACTGGATTTGGGGGGGGGCTCGCACGTGGCAGCCACCACCATCACCATGCTGCTGCCACGCTGCTTTCTTATGGCCGGTCGCACGTGCGGCTCTGTGGGCTAGTGGGCCGGGCGGCACGTGCGTGGCCCACAGAGGGGCACCACTGCCCTCACCTCCCTGGCCCTGCTCCTGGCAGCAGGCACAGAGAGTGAGCTGAGGTGAGGGGCAGGGAGGTGCTGTGGTGTACCACGTGAGGCCAGTGGCACCCGGCACACCCCATCCCCTCCCCCAGGTAAGAAGCAAAACATGGGAACGCGCCGGGGGAGACGCCGCTGCTGCAACCTGGGGCGCGTTCCATCTCCATCTGTCTGCCCGCCCGCCCACGCATACCCCCTACGGCCTTTCTAAGTACACCTAGGTGTACGCGTACCCCTGATTGACAACCCCTGCACTAATCTTTCACTGCTTTCCTTCCTGCTTTGCAGTCATCATTTCTGAATGCAACAGCTGTGCTGCAGGAAAGTTGGTCAACAACATAATAATCTAATCCTTTGCTTGAACTGGACAACCACACAATGAATTTGTTATCAACATATGCCATATTGCTTCAAATCTTATCTTCTGTGCTCTGATAGCACAGTAGTGTAATTTTCCTTTCATTATGTTGGTAGCGGTGTTTTCTGAAAAAAATCTTTTTGTCCAACCTTCAAGTCATGAAGCAGCAAAATGCTGATTAATTGCTGTTAGGTGAACCATGATGAGATGAAAGCCTCCCAACTGAATGATTACTCCTTTAGTTTCTTCTGACTAAGCCCACAAAAATTCACTTGCTTTGCAATGCAATGCAATGCCTGATCAAACGTTATGACTATGTGCTGTTGTCCCAGGTATCCTGCAGTTGTTTTACATTGCATGATGACTGTCCACATGATGACTGTCCAAATGGTGTCATACTTGGATGCCAGTACAGGCAGTATGGGACAAAGTCCAACAATCAATGATGGTGAAGAATCATCAGAAAGAAACTGGTTAAATGTTGTCCACCCTGGTACAGCGGTATTTTCTTGGTTGTTGGCTGATATTCTACCCCGTTTCCATGGTACTGCTGCTACCCTGAACAACTGTGTTGTTGAGCTTTTCATTCATGTTACTACCCATACTATGGATGAGTGGTTTCAGTGACTTGTTGTGGGTCATCATCTCTGGAATGACTTTGTTAAATTCAAATGCTGCATCCTTCCAGGTTCTTTTCCTTTGTATTATGCCAGTGCTTTCTTCAGTCTTAACTCAGAGCAATCCCAGCCAGGTCATGAATGACTACAGGACTCTGGGAGCAGGGCTCAGAGGGTTGAGGGCTCAGGTGGTTTTCTCCTCAATCCTTCTGGTTACAGGTCACAAGCATAGGAGGGAGAGAAGAGTTGCAGAAGTAAAAAGAAGACTCTGGCTCTGGTGCTTTTGTAAAGGCTTCAACTTCCATGACTGCAGTCCTCACTTCAGAGAAAGAGGCAGTGATTTGTTGGGAAGGGATGGCCTCCACCTCACTCAAATGGGGAAGAAGCCCTTCTCAGCCAGAATGGCTGACCTGCTAGACCGGGCTTTAAACTAAGTTTGCCGGGGTATAGGCAAACCACCAGTGCAAGCCTATCAACCGTCAACCACAAAATCAATAGGTCGGGCTGCACAAAGGATCTCACTCCTTCCTATCCTAGCCCAGGGACAGGACTCTTCTAGGAGTTCAGGGAAGCCTAGGGCCTCCATCGGCAGGCTCACTTACCTATACACAAATGCCAGGAGCCTGGGCAACAAACAGGAGGAACTGGCCCTTCTACTAAACAGAAATGACTATGCTCTCATAGGGATAACAGAGACCTAGTGGGATTCCACCTATGACTGAACCATAGATATAGAGGGCTACACCTTGTACAGGTAGATTCGTGTTGCAAGGAAGGGCAGAGGTGTAGCTCTCTATGTGAAGGAGCAGTACACTTCTCTACAGGTGGAGATTGGCAACCAAGGAGGGAGACTTGAGACCCTCTGAGTAAGAATATGGGGGGAATGTGGTGATGGGAATATAACAGTAGAAATCTACTATTGACCTCCTAATCAGGAGCAAGAATTTGACCATGAATTCGTTATGGAACTGGCTGAGGCTACATGCTCTTGCTGCGTGGTTGTAGTGGGTGAATTCAACTGCCCTGACATCTCATGGGAAGAGCAGTCAGCCAAATCCAGTTGGTCTCAGTGCTTCCTCACGTGCATTGACAGGCTATATTTGTCTCAAGAAGCCTACGGGCCGACAAGAGGCAAGGTGCTGCTGGACCTGATAATGGCCAAAGGGGATGATCTAGCGAGCAACCTGAAAATCAAAGGGAAGCTGAGACACAGTGACCATGAGCTGATCACTTTATCCACCGCAAAGCTAGCAAGTCGGTCAGCAATGCTGAAGTTCTTGACTTTAGGAAAGCTGACTTTCATAAGCTCAGGAAGCTAGTTGTCGAGGCCCTGCAAGGCCATAATCTAACAGAGAGGTGAGTACATGACGAGTGGTTGCTCCTCAAGGATGTGATCCTTGAAGCACAAGAGAAGTCCATTCTAGCCTCTAGAAAAAGTAGCAGAAGGGCTGGGCAACCCCCTTGGCTCAATAAGGAAATCACGGACCTCCTGTATCTAAAAAGAGAAGCTTATAAAGGATGGAAGATGGGAAACACCACTAAAGAGGAGTATTCAGCACTGGTCATCAGCTCTAGGGAGCAAACTAGGAAAGCCAAGGCTGAAACTGAGTTCAAAGTGGCTACACAAATCAAGGACAATAAAAAGTCCTCCTTCAGATGTGTGGGAAATCGTGGGGGGTGGGGGGGGAACAAGGGCAACATTGAACCCTGGCTAAACCAAATGGGGCAGCTGATAACCGACACCCAGGAAAAAGCCAATCTCCTTAACGATTACTTTGCATTGGTCTTCCATTAGCTCAAGGGGATCACCCCACCTGACAAGATGTGGGATCATCAGAAAAAGGGCGACCATATGCCCTTCATTGGCATGGTTCTTGTGAGAGAACACCTTGAGAGGCTGGCCATCCACAAATCAGCTGGCCCGGATGGAATGCACCTAAGAGTACTAAAGGAACTGGTTTACATAATAGCGTGGCCAGTGGCAAGGATATTCAAGAACTCGTGGTGCTCGAGCAAGGTAACTGAAGATTGGAAGAGGGCCATTGTGGTTCCTATCTTCAAGAAGGGGAGGAAGGAAGATCCAGGGAACTACATGCCAATCATTTTGCCCTCAGTCCCTGGAAAGATTTTGGAAAAAATCATCAAGGAAACCGTTAACAGGCTAAAAGAAGCCAACACAGCTTTGTTGCAGGTAGGTCTTGCCTGACCAATCTCATTTCCTTCTATGACCAGGTAACACATCACCTGGACAAAGGAGAAGAGGTTGATATCATATAGTTGGACTTCAAGAAAGCCTTTGACCTGGTATCCCATGATATCCTCATGGTAAAATTGGAGAACTGCGGCCTTGACAACCTTACGGTCCGATGGCTGAGGAATTGGCTCCGTGGACGGACCCAAAGAATGATAGTAGATAGAACCCAATCAACATGGCGCATGGTGACCAGTGATGTCCCCCAAGGCTCCATTCTTGGACCTGTACTCTTCAATGTATTTATAAATGATCTGGACTCTGATGTCAGAAGCAGACTGGCTAAGTCCGTTGTTGACACCAAAGTATGGGGAAATGTGGTCACCCTAGAGGATAAGCTGGCAATCCAGTCCGACCATGACAGGCTTGCAAGGTGGGCGGATCAGAACCTGATGGCATTCAACACAGAGAAACGCAAGGTGCTCTACCTCGGAAGAAAAAATACCACATTGCACTTTATAGGCTTGGCAGTGCTATGCTCGCTAGCACCATGACTGAAAGAGACTTGGGGGTCATGATTGACCACAAGATGAACACAAGCCACCAATTCGATGCCGCAGCTGGCAAAGCAAACAAAACTCTGGCTTGCATCTACTAGGGCTGTGCAAAATTTCTGCAGCTGTTTTGTTTCAGAGGTGTTTCGGCCTGTTCTGCGCCCAAAACACCGAATTCGAAACAAAATGGAAGGCTCAGAAACAGCTCTGAAATGAAACCATCCAAAACGTTTTAGAATGTTTCAGAGGTGGGCTTGCGGGGAAACAAACTCGGAAGAGGGTGGGATAGAGAGGTGGGGAAGGATTGCTCTGATATTGACATCTGTAATTGGCCAGTGTCTGCAATCTGTCCCTGAGGTCCCTTCCAATCCCAGTGCTCTGGGGGCTGACAGTGAAAAAGCATATAAGGCTCTGTATGAAGCCGTTCTCTGCCTTTTGTGAGCTGTCTGTCTGGAAGCAACAGCATGTGAAAGGTACTGACTGGCTGTAGTGGCTGGGTTCCTAGTAGTCAATCTGTTGCTAGTCTCTCTTCTTGGAAAGGATTGGATACACCTTTCCAATATATTACAGATAGAAGATATATTGCACATAGAAGACGTATTATACACACACATGCACATATTTTCCAACACAGCAAACATTATGAAGCGTGCTGGAAAGGTGCCAGTTCTTCTGGCAGGGGAGCGAGAGCGGGTAGAGGGAGAGCTGCAAGTCGTCCTTCCCCCCCTTCCCCCACCCAAACTTAGACACACTCTCTTCCTTAGCAGCCATGAGGCTTCTGCTGCTAGTGGCAGCAAGGAGGTGGGAGCAGTGTCTGCACCTGCCCTACCTCCACTAACACCAGCAAAATAATAACTTCCAGCACCACCAGCATGACAGTCTCCTCCACCCCAATTTCAGTTCCCAGCCTGAGCCTTCCAGTGCCAGAGGAGCTGGATCTGGAACCAGGGGAGCTCAGTGCCATAACCAGAGAAGTTCTGGGGAAGGAGGGGGAATCTGAGTTTCTGCTCCACACCCTCCAAAGTTCCCCTAGAGCCAGGTCTCCTTCTCTGAAAAGCACCTTGGAGGAGGTTGAGGTTGTGGAGGCAAGTGGCTCAGCTGTCAGCTCCTCCTGTCATTGTGCCTCTGCCTGCTGAGGAGGAAGAGAAGGCAGGATTTGCACCCGCACCCCAGAAGCGAGGGGGTAGTGTAGTGTGGGATAATTTTGAGGTGGCAGATAATCCCACATATGCTATCTGCCTGCACTACCAGTGCAAGACCAGCCGGGGCAAAGACAAGAAACACTTCAGCACCATGGGGATGCTAATGCATATTAGGAGGTACTACCCCATTGCCCTTGCTCCCCCTCAGCCTGGCACCAGTGAGACCGTGTCTCAAGGGAAGTCCTCCTCTCGCTCCAAAGCCTCCGTCCCCCAGAAGCAGAGTCAGGCCAGCCTGGACCAGTGGGGGAAAGGCAGAGAGAAAGCGGAATGCGTTCCCAAGGCAAGTGAAGTCACCCAGAGCACTGGGGAGATGCTTGCTCTGAATGGCCAGTCCTTCTCCTTAGTTGAACGGCCAGGGTTCAGGTGGCTCATGGCACTTGTGGCCCCATCATACTGCGTGCCCGCACGTACCACCTTTAACAGGACAGTGGTGTCCTCCCTGTATGAGGCATGCAGGGAGTACTTGAGGAAGGAGCTCTGCAGGGCAGGTCTGCAGGTGGCTGTACACTTCACCTCAGACACCTGCAGCAGCTGGGGTGAAATCATGCCTACCTCTCCCTCACAGGGCACTGGTGTGACCAGTCAGGCCATTGGTGGGCTCTCCTTCAAGCTGAGGTGCTGGATGAGTCCCACACAGCAATGGTGATCATGGGGAGCATGAATCACTTGGTGCAGGGGTGGCTTGTTGGGCAGGGCAAGTTTACTCATGGGTTCATGGTCCCTGACTGTGGGGCCAATATGGTCAAGGCAGTCCATGATGCAACTTTTGTTGGCATCTGCTGTGGCACACAAGTTCTACCTTATAGTCAGGGACACCTCAGAGGGGGACAGGCCTGCTGGTGAGGGCGCTGTTACAACCAGCCAGCTCATTTAAAAATACAGGAAGGTGGCAGGCTACTTCCACCGGAGTATCAAGGAGGTCAGGATGCTGTGGGATAAACAAACAGAGCTGAACATCCCACAGCACAAAATCATGCAGGATGTGGAGACTCGGTGGAACTCCACATACCCCCTGAACAGAGCTGAGTGGGATACCATCTCCCAGATCTTGGTGGTCCTCAAGCCCTTCCTTGAGGCCACGGAGAGCTTCAGCGCTGCCAATGCCCTCCTTAGCCAGGTGATCCCCATAGTGAGAGAGCTTCAGAACCAAATGGAGAAGTTCCAGGGGATCGATGTTCCTGGCTGGGGAAAGCCAGTGTCACCAGAGGTGCAGGCACTGGTGAAGTGGCTGAAGGAGAGTATCAAGAAATGGCTGGATCTGTTGCAGTCCAGTATGGTCCATGTGCTGGCGGCGATGTGCAACCCGAGGGTGAAGGGGAAGTGTCCTATGTTGAATGAGTGCCTTGTGTATTCACACAATTCTGGCAAATGTACTTTGGCTAATCAGCAAAACCCTGGATCACTGGATGGAGGTGCTGGTGAACAGAGTCAGGGAGGCAGAAAGGCAGAGACGGGGGAACCACTGTCCTGTGCCAGCACTCCATCCACTAGCTAGTGTCCTCCACCACAGGTGCTGTCAGTGTGGGCCAAGGGCATGGCTTCCATGTTGGGGTCCGGAGGCACCAGATCCTAGCATCAGGCACGTAGCGCCAAGGCCTCAGTGGCTACCTATCTTGCCAAGGATGTGGAACCACTGCTGTGTGACTCCTTGGCCACCTGGGCCAGCCACAGCCAGCTGTGGCAGGATCTGGCCATGGTTGCCTGGGAACACCTGTCCTGTCCACCGACAACTGTTCCAAATGAGAGGGTTTTCAGCATTGCTGGGGATGTTGTGACACCTCACCACACCTCCTTGGATCCTGGTTTGGTGGAGCAGCTGGTGTTCCTCAAGGTGAACCTCCCTCTGGTGGGGTTCCCCAAGCTCCACATGCAGACAGAGTGAGTGACACCCTCCTCACTCCGTCCACACCTATTTCCTTTTGATGAAGTGAAGTTCATAGGCTCGTCTATGAAAAGTGATTTGCAAATTCCCTTTAATGAGCAGGCCTGAAAAATTGCAGAGAGCGTGGCTTTCTTGTGAGAAATGTGCCCCCACAGGTAGTTGGGTATTCTTGTCTGTGATAGATTTCTGGTGTCCATTAATTCTGGTGCACAGTTGTTGCTTGATGTCTCCTCTGTATTTTCCATCAGGGCATTTGGTGCACTGGATGAAATATATAATGTTTCTGGATGTACAACTGTAAGTTCCAGGAGTGGTGATGGTTCTGTAGTGAGGTGTAGTAATTGTGGGGGTACTGGAGATATGTTGGCAGGTTTTGCATTTCTTGTCATGGTATGGTCATCCATTTGGTGTGTTTTGGGCTGTAGGAAGTTTGCTTCTGGTGATGAGATTAGTGAGGTTCTGTGCTTGTTTGAATTTACAAACCACTTTTCACAGACGAGCCTATGAACTTCACTTCATCAACCTCCTGGATACAGAAACTCATGGACTCAATGTAGACATTGGATTTATGACACACTATAACCTGCCTGACATCTGACTCCCCAGGTACCTCTCCACTGTTACATCCCCCACACCCCCCCTTACATACCCCACCTCATCCCCTGACACCTCAGTTTACATTTTCACTGACTGGTTTTCATGCCTGCATTGCATGTCACCCTCTGGCTTCTTTACTATTCCTTCCATCCAGGAAGAGCACACGCCAACTTCAGACGCTTCCTCAGCAATATGAAGGGTTTTTAAACCCAAAAGCTTGCTAGGATATATTTCTCCAACTATTCAGTTGGTCTAATAAAAGATATCAGAGGTACCCTCGACTGGTCCGTGCTGTGGCTAGGACCCAAAGTGGGGGTGGTCAAAGGGGCAGGGGCCCACTGCGAGGAATGCCCAGAGCAAGAGTCTTGGGATTCCAACTGGCCTGAAGGTGAGGCCAGGGCCTAAAGGGATGTCAGAGGTCCCAGAGAGGGGACCACAGCTGGAGGGGTGAAGGATGCAATGTGCGAGGCCTGGGCCACAGTGTTGGGGAGGTATGGAGCTGCGGAATGGATGTCACCCCAAGACACCTAAATGGGCAGCCTCTGGCCTGGGAAATATCTGAATTAATTTTCCATCAAGGCATGGCAGGAAAAAGAGGGGTGGGCTTTTGGCCTAGAAACAAGTAGGTGGGTGGAGATGTAACTGGCACCTGGAAGGCCCCCTGTTTAAAGGTAGGCGCGCGCGCGCACACGCACATACACGCGTTTTGCTTTAAATAGTTTGAAGTGCAGTTTCACAGAAACCCTTACACCTATCTCCTTGAAA